TAGTCGAATTAACATGAAAAATGAGTTCAAAATTTTCAAAAATTTTCGAAAAAAAGAAAAATATGGATCAAGCGACCTAGAACTGGTGTCAAATTGTAGTTAATCTCGAATTATCAATCCGATTCGTTATTTTAACATCTAGTAAACAAACGTGAAGAATTCAAAATTTAAAAAAAAATGTAAAAAATTTATTCTATCTACCGAGAATTTGGGTGAAATTGTAGATAACTTTCTGTAAATTACGAATCCAAAATCGTCATTACGACATCTAGTCGAATAAACGTGAAAAGTGTTCAAATTTTCAAAATTTTTCAAAAAAAAATAGTAGAAATGGATTCAAGCGGCCGAGAAATTGTGTCAAATTGTATATAATTTTCCGCAAATTACGAATCCAAAATCATCTTTACGACATCTAGTCGAAAAAACGTGAAAAATGTGTTCAAAATTTTCAAAATTTTTCCAAAAAAATGGTTAAAACGGGTTCTCTTGACTGCAAATTCGTGTCAAATTATAAACAATCTTCCTCTAATTACGAATCCGAAATCGCCATCACGACACCTATTCGAATAAACGTGAGAAGTGAGTTCAAAATTTTCAAAAAATTTCCAAAAAAAAATGGTAAAAATGGGTTCAAGCGACCGAGAATTTGTGTCAAATTCTAGACAACCTTTCGCCAGTTATGAATCCGAAATGGTCGTTACGACATCTAGTCTAATAAACGTGAAAAGTGAGTTCAAAATTTTCAAAATTTTTCCAAAAAAATGGTTAAAATGGGTTGTCTCGACTGAAAACTCATGTCAAATTATAAACAATTTTCCTCCAATTACGAATCCGAAATCGCCATCACGACACCTAGTCGAATAAACGTGAGAAATGAGTTCAAAATTTTCAAAAATTTTCCAAAAAAATGGTAAAAATGGGTTCAATCGACCGAGAATTTGTGTCAAATTGTGGGTAATCTTTCGCCAGTTATGAATCCGAAGTGGTCGTTACGACATCTAGTCTAATAAACGTGAAAAGTGAGTTCAAAATTTTCAAAATTTTTCCTAAAAAATGGTTAAAATGGGTTCTCTCGACTGAAAATTCGTGTCAAAATATAAACAATCTTCCTCTAATTACGAATCCGAAATCGCCATCACGACATCTAGTCGGATAAACGTGAAAAGTGTTCAAAATGTTCAAAAATTTTCCAAAAAAAATGGTAAAAATGGGTTCAAGCGATCGAAAATTTATGTCAAATTGTAGATAATGTTTCGCCAGTTATGAATCTGAAATGGTTGTTACGACATCTAGTCTAATAAACGTGAAAAGTGAGTTCAAAATTTTCAAAAATTTTCAAAAAAAAAAAAGAAAAATGGATCAAGCGACCTAGAACTGATGTCAAATTGTAGTTAATCTTTTGCGAATTATCAATCGGATTCGTTATTTTAACATCTAGTGGAACAAACGTGAAGAATTCAAAATTTTCAAAAAAATGTAAAAAATTTATTCTATCTACCGAGAATTTGGGTCAAATTGTAGATAATTTTCTGTAAATTACGAATCCAAAATCGTCATTACGACATCTAGTCGAATAAACGTGAAAAGTGTTCTAAATTTTCAAAATTTTTCCAAAAAAATGGTAAAAATGGATTCAAGCCGCCGAGAATTTGTGTCAAATTGTAGATAATCTTTCGCCAGTTATGAATCCGAAATGGTCGTTACGACATCTAGTCTAATAAACGTAAAAAGTGAGTTCAAATTTTTCAAAAATTTTCGAAAAAAAAGAAAAATATTTATCAAGCAACCTAGAACTGGTGTCAAATTGTGGTTAATATTTTGCCAATTATCAATCCGATTCGTCATCTTAACATCTAGTCGAATAAACGTGAAAAGTGTGTTCAAAATTTTCAAAATTTTTCCAAAAAATTGGTTAAAACGGGTTCTCTTGACTGAAAATTCGTGTCAAATTATAAACAATCTTCCTCTAATTACGAATCCGAAATCGCCATCACGACACCTATTCGAATACACGTGAGAAGTGAGTTCAAAATTTTCAAAAATTTTCCAAAAAAAATGGTAAAAATGGGTTCAAGCGACCGAGAATTTGTGTCAAATTCTAGATAACCTTTCGCCAGTTATGAATCCGAAATGGTCGTTACGACATCTAGTCTAATAAACGTCAAAAGTGAGTTTAAAATTTTCAAAAAATTTTTCGGGAAAATGGTAAAAATTGGTTCTATCTACCGAGAATTAGGGTCAAATTGTATATAATTTTCCGCAAATTACGAATCCAAAATCGTCGTTACGACATCTAGTCGAATAAACGTGAAAAGTGTGTTCAAAATTTTCAAAATTTTTCCAAAAAAATGGTTAAAATGGGTTCTCTCGACTGAAAACTCATGTCAAATTATAAACAATCTTCCTCCAATTACGAATCCGAAATCGCCATCACGACACCTAGTCGAATAAACGTGAGAAATGAGTTCAAAATTTTCAAAAATTTTCCAAAAAAATGGTAAAAATGGGTTCAATCGACCGAGAATTTGTGTCAAATTGTGGATAATCTTTCGCCAGTTATGAATCCGAAATGGTCGTTACGACATCTAGTCTAATAAACGTGAAAAGTGTGTTCAAAATTTTCAAAATTTTTCCAAAAAAAATGGTTAAAATGGGTTCTCTCGACTGAAAACTCATGTCAAATTATAAACAATTTTCCTCCAATTACGAATCCGAAATCGCCATCACGACACCTAGTCGAATAAACGTGAAAAATGAGTTCAAAATTTTCAAAAATTTTCCAAAAAAATGGTAAAAATGGGTTCAATCGACCGAGAATTTGTGTCAAATTGTGGATAATCTTTCGCCAGTTATGAATCCGAAATGGTCGTTACGACATCTAGTCTAATAAACGTGAAAAGTGAGTTCAAAATTTTCCAAAAAAAAAAAAATGAAAAATATGGATCAAACGACCAAGAACTGGTGTCAAATTGTAGTTAATCTTTTGCCAATTATCAATCCGATTCTTTATTTTAACATCTAGTGGAATAAACGTGAAGAATTCAAAATTTTCAAAAAATGTTTCAAAAAAATGTAAAAAATTGATTCTATCTACCGAGAATTAGGGTCAAATTGTATATAACTTTTCGCAAATTACGAATCCAAAATCGTCGTTACGACATCTAGTCGAATAAACGTGGAAAGTGTGTTCAAAATTTCCAAAATTTTTCCAAAAAAATGGTTAAAATGGGCTCTCTTGACTGAAAATTCGTGTCAAATTATAAACAATCTTCCTCTAATTACGAATCCAAAATCGCCATCACGACATCTAGTCAAATAAACGTGAGAAGTGAGTTCAAAATTTTCAAAAATTTTCCAAAAAAATGCTGAAAACGGGTTCAAGCGACCGAGAATTTGTGTCAAATTGTAGATAATCTTTCGCCAGTTATGAATCCGAAATGGTCGTTACGACATCTAGTCCAATAAACGTGAAAAGTGAGTTCAAAATTTTCAAAAATTTTCGAAGAAAATGGAAAACTTGGTTCAAGCGACCTAGAACTGGTGACAAATTGTAGTTAATCTTTTGCCAATTATCAATCCGAATTCGCCATGTTAAGATCTAGTGGAATAAACGTGAAAAGTGAGTTCAAAATTTTCAAAAATTTTTCAAAAAAAATGGAAAAAATTGGTTCGATCAACCTAGAATTAGGCTCAAATTGTAGATAATTTTCCGCAAATTACGAATCCAAAATCGTCGTTACAACATCTAGTCAAATAAACGTGAAAAATGCGCTAAAAATTTTCAAAATTTTTCCAAAAAATGGTAAAAATGGGTTCAAGCGACCGCGAATTCGTGTCAAATTATAAACAATCTTCCTCTAATTATGAATCCGAAATCACGACATCTAGTCGAATAAACGTGAAAAGTTAGTGCAAAATTTCCAAAAAATGTTCAAAAAAATGATAAAAATTGATTCAATCGACTGAGAATTGGTGTCAAATTGTAGCGAATCCGAAATCGCTTCACAACATCTAGTCAAATAACCGGGAAGAGGGAATGCAAAAGTTTCAAAAAAATTCCCAAAAAATTATTAAAATTGATTTAATGGACTCATAAATAACACTATGCAACACTAAAAAATTCACAGAAAGTTCAGATAGTGTTTAAGGTTGGGTATACTCCATATACTAAAGAAAAAAATGTTTTATAGTCATATCACATCACAAAACATAGATAACGGGTGTTTTGTTTTTCTTACTTAATGGGACACTTGATTGCATTTAATCGTAAAAATATCGATTTTATGTATCCACCCATGTTTGCAGACTTCTGTTGGTGTCTTCAGAGGGATACTCCGAGATTTGGCTACAATAGGAATGCCAATCGTTCGAAAAAAAGACCTTTTTCAATGAAAAATGAAGTATTGCTTTATTCATTTTGTATGATTTCAAAAAATTCAATAAACACTTTTCATTTTGAAACCTGATGTAATAGGTTGGGTAGCTATACTCCATATACTAAAGAAAAAAATGTTTTATCCTCATATCACATCACAAAATATAGATAACGGGTGTTTTGTTTTTCGTACTTTTTGGGACACTTGGTTGCATTTAATCGTAAAAATATCGCTTTGATGTATCCACCCATGCTTGCAGACTTCTGTTGGTGTCTTCAGAGGGATACTGCGAGATCTGGCTACAATAGGAATGTCAATCGTTCGAAAAAAAGACCTTTTTCAATGAAAAATGAAGTATTGTTTTATTAATTTTGTATGATTTCAAAAAATTCAATAAACGCTTTTCATTTTGAAACCTGATGTGATACGATTCTTTCAAGTATAATCCTCAATTGAGTTTGAGGTAAGAAATTTTAACTACATACTGTGCATTCTGTGAATTTTATTTTTTTTTAATTTGTTGCATAGTGTAATTGGTGTACAATTTTCGAAATTTTTCAAAAAATAAAGTTAAAGTGGTTAAAATTCACCGAAAATTTGTCCCAAACTGTAGATTATTCATACCTTTCATTATTTTATTTACGTTGTAATCCATTCTGCTGCTGGACACCGACTGAGCGATTTTATTCATCATTTTAAGGATAGAAATAAAACCGTCATGCATTACTTTTTACTTGACGTTTCGATTGCGCAAATATCGATAATAATAATCAATTATTCATTTTTTATCACTTATACTCGTTTGAGTATTCCTTGTAACATCATTACCGTAGAAAAATTCTTGAATAATTAAATAATTGGCAGGTAAATGCACTTTTTTATCCGTATATTTCAATAAGTTTCTTGAAAAGGATTTTTTTAACTGACGAATTGGAACACACAAAAGTAAATAGACAAATCAACACTGGTACTAAAAGTTTCTCTTTCATTCCAGATACATGACGACGGGTTGCAACACCCTCAAACTCATCCTCAAGCACTTCGGTCACGTGATCAAGAACAACGTCCAGTCGCCCGTGGGCACCTTCGGCGTGGACATCACCCGCGAAGAAAGGTACAAGAAGTCCGTGAAGTGCCACGAGGTCCTGCAGAAGTTGCGAACGCTGATGGCCAAGAAGCAGTCGATGCCGGGCTCCGTCGGCTCCGCCTTCCGAGAGGTCACGACGCTGATGCAGAGCACGCTCGACTGACGTCCGCCCAAGCTGGCCCAAGTCAAGCATCGGAGCGTCTGAGGCGCCGCCATGACTGCAGAAATGGTCTCGAATCTCTATTTTTTAACTAAGTTTTTTCCTTTAACGTTGTGATCCAGTCGAAAAAATGCGGATTTTGCGCTAGGACATTTTTTTGGCTTCGTAACCCGTTCTGTAATAGATGAAGACTTGCAATTCCGTCCAGAGAACGAACAAGTAGGAGTATTTTGTATGAGGAGTAGTTGCGGATTAACAGTTAACGATACTTAATTGAGAGTTACTAAAGTAGTTAGGTATTTATTGTAACTGAGTAGGTGTAGACGAAGAGAATGATGGCGGTTGGTGGTGACAAAATCTGGTTTCTTGCCTGTTTTATTAACACGTTTTGTGCCATTTTTATGTTTTTTTAACGATTTTAATTGTGTTTTTTGAACGGACCCGCTGGCAGAAACTAACCTCGAGGTTTCTCTTTTTTACCTGTAGTGTGTTGTATCATAACATGTAAAATAATAACTATTGTAATATTATTTATAATAAAAACTATTACTTAAGGGGGTGTTTACATTCGTCGTGGGGTGAAAATGTCATTTCCTTAGTGCTGACTATTATTGATAAATATAGTAGTCCACACATTATAACATTATATAGCTTGACAAAAGCATTGCTACTATAACTGCCCGATTCCTTGTTACTAATAAGTGTTTAATTGGTTGCATAAACTATATGACATTAAGTTAAAACTGACAATTTTATTTATCTAAAATAAAAGAGTATTATCATTATATTTATTATATATATTTTTTTTAAATGTGCAAGGGTTTTCATTGGAATTGAAAATGAGATCAGGTAAATTAATAGCTATTTAACAATTTTTTTTTATATTTTTCTTTTTCTCAATTTGAAATTTTTCAGTTTTTGGATTTTTCATTTTTTTTTGTTTTCAGTTTTTCGTTTCTTCAATTTTTGATTTGCAGGTTTTCTAGTTTTCATTTTAGATATGTAATAATAATTATAGTTTTTATTAGTTGTTCACTTTTTCAATTTTTCGTTTTTGGAATTTTTTTATTTTTCGATCTTTGAATGTTAGTTTTTGGACTCTACATTTTTCGATTTAATTGGTTCTTTGATTCTTTAATTTTTTCTCGATTTTTAGTTTTTCAATGTTTCTATTTTTCGTTTCTTCAGTTCTACAGTTTTGTCAAATAAATGTTATATAAATTTGGTTATGGTTTATGAATCCGTGTTGAATTTTTATCTTCGACATCGAAATTTTTGTGCAAAAATAAAACAAAATTGAATTACAATTTTTCGATTTCTTGATTTCTCGATTTTTAGTTTACTTAATTTTCGATATTTTAGTTTTACAATTTTTCAATTATTGCTTTTTTTAAATTTTCATTTTTACATTTCTCAATTTCTCTATTAATCAATCCTTTGATTTTTCGATTTTTCCTCTTTCCAATTTATCGATTTTTGAAGTTTTCGTTGTTCCAATTTTGGGATTTTTCAATATCTCCAATTTTTTATTTTAAAATTTTTCACTTTTTTGATATTTCGATTTCTCGATGTTTCGATTTTTTGAATTTTGAATATTTTGATTTATCGTTTTTTTTTAAATTTAAATATGTATTTCAGTTTTAAATTTTCCGGTTTTTCGATTTCTCCATTTCTCGGATCTTTGGATGTCTCAATTTTTTAATTTCGATTTCTGGGCTTTTCCATTTTTCAATTTATTATTTCTTCAAGTTTTTAGATTTTTAAAATTCTCCATTTTTCGATCTCCCGATTTTAACCTTTTTAATGTGTATTCCAATTTTTCGATTTTGGAATTGTCGATTTCTTACATCTCAATTATTCGTTTTTTCGATTTTAAAATGTTTTTACTTTTCGTTCTTTTTTCGATTTCTGGATTTTTCAAGTTTTCGATTTCTCAATTTTTCAACATTTCAATTTTGAGAATGTCTTATATTTTTCAGTTTTTTGATATTTTCATTTTTCAACTTTTTAAATTTTAATTTTTCGACTTACCGGAAATCGATTTTTGGGTTTTTCAATTTTTCGACTTTTCAGTTTTGAGATTTTTCAATTTGTCGATTTTTTAGTTTTTCATTTCTTTAGTTTTTCGATTTTTCAAGTTTTCGAATTTTTAAATTTAAAATTTTTCAATTTTTCTATTTTATTTTTTTTACGTTCCGATTTCCCGATTTTAATTTTTTTATGCTTTTCAATCTTTGGTTTTTCTAAATTTTCATTTTTCCATTTCTCGATTTTTCGACTTTTTAATTTTGTGTTTTTTTTAATGTTAAATTTTTTGTTATTGTAATTTTTCTATTTTTCTAAATTTTAGATATTTAGATTTTTCGACATCTTGAATTCTCGATCTTTTTTCAGTTTGAATTCTTCGGTTTTTCGATTTTCCAAATTTCGATTTTTCAATCTTTCGACTTTTCAGTTTTGAAAATTTTCGATTTCTTGATTTTTCAGTTTTTGATTTTCCAAATTTTAGATGATTCAAATTTTAGAGTTTGCAAATTTCACGAGTTTTCAGTTTTTAATTTCGTCAATTTTTCGATTTGCAATTTTTCGTGTGGGTTTTTAATTTTCTTTATTTTTTCAATTTTCAGCTTTCAATTTTCCGTTTCTTTAATTTTTCATTCGCAGTTTTTCTAGTTTTCATTTTAATTATGTAACACTCCTAATAATTATAATTTTTAAAGATGTTCACTTTTTCAGTTTTTCGTTTTTGGAGTTTTTCAATTTTTCGGTGTTTGAATGTCACAGTTTTTGGACTTTACAGTTTTCAAGATTCTATAATTTTTCGATTTTACAATTTTTGGATTTTCCAATTTTTCAATTTGAATGGTTTTTCTTCTTTCCCATTCTTCGATTCATTATTTTTTTTTTAGATTTTTAAGTTTCTCGGTTTTTAGTTTTTCATTGTTTCAATTTTTCACTTTTTCGAGTTTTTAATTTTTCGAATAAACAAAATCGAAAAATTATAAAATAGAAAAATTGTAAAACTGAAAAAGTACAAAATGAAAAAAAATTGGAAATCAAGAACTTAAAAAATCAAAGATTGAAAATGTAAAAAACTGAATAAACAAAAAATTATAAAATCCAAAGAAACATTGAAAAATTAAAGGTAATGGAAAAATGAAAAATTGTGATATAAAATCAAGAAAATGAAAATTACAAAATCGGGAAAATGAAAATATGGAAAATCAGAAAAATATAGAAATTGAAAAATTCCCAAAATTGCGATGTTGAAAACTTGAGATAGCCAAAAATTTAAAAATCGAGAAATCAAAAATTTTTAAAATTGGAAAATTGAGATATGAGAAATCGAAAATTCCAAAAATGGAAAAATTGAAACACATTAAAAAATAAAAATCGGGCAATCGAAACATAAAGATTATAAACGCGAAAAATGGAAAATTAAAAAAATCGAAAATTTAAAATATATACTAGAAAAATCTAAAATTTTGAAAATCGAAAAACCAAGAAATCGAAATCGAAAACTTGAGACTTCAAAAGATCGAGAAATCGAAATAGGCCGAAATCGGAAAATTCAAAATTGAAATATTTACTTAAAAAAAAGGTAAACGGAAAAATCGAAAAACCAAAAAAATCGATAAACCTAGATATGAGAAACAGAAAATTCCAAAAATCGAAAAATTGAAATACAGATTAAAAAATTTTAAAAATCGAAGTTAAAAAATCGTAAAAACAAATTCCATTCGATTTTCCGTTTTATCGATTTTGCAATTTTTTGTTTTTTCAATTTTTTCCAATTTTTTAATTTTCCGATTTTTCAATTTTTCGAAGTTTCTACTTTCCAAATAAACAAAATGGAAAAGTTATAAAATAGAAGGAATTGAAGAAACGGAAAATTCAAAAATCGAAAGATTAAAAATTGAGAAACTTAAAGATCGAAAAATTGCGGTCGAAAACACGAAAATTATTGTAAAATCTAAATATTGAAAATTGGAAAATCGAGGAATTGAAAATGTGAAAAATTGAATAAACGAAAAATTGTGATCTCAAATCCAGAAAATGAAAATTAAAAAATTGGGAAAATGGTATAAAAAAAAATGAAGAACTTGAAACAACATCATTACGCCGAATATGTTCATTGCGCTACACATAACCTCAATTTAGTCCTTAATGATTCTGTTAAGAATGGATGACAACAACTTAACACTGAGATGAAAGAAAATGAAAAGTGTGTTATAAAAAAAACTTTAAAAAAGTTATGCCCCACCAGATGGTCATCGAGATTTGATTCTCTAATTGCCATTAGATATAATCTCTCAACAGTTATGAGCTGTTTGTCAAAAATTATTTTAACATCAAAAAAGAAAAGTGAAATAGATGAAGCTGTAGATCTTGGTAAAAAATGGATTAGTATCGTTTGTTATTTCAAATTGATCTATTTAGGCTATTTTTTTACCTGTTTTTTCGTCTATTTTTAAGGTATTGTAGCATTTTTTTAAGCAAACAATTTTGAGGTTGATTTTTGTGAAAAAAAATCGACATTATATGAAAATTATTTGAATTGCAAAAACCGAATGCTGTGAAATCGTGCAAATAATTTAAGATTATTTGAAACATGATAAGTCGTTAATCAAAATTTGTCCATCTTACATTTTTGCCAAATTTTTTAAAATTTATTAGTGTTTTTGGAAAAAAACTGAGTCAGTTCTTTCCCCTGTGTTGAGGACACCAAATCAAGCAAATTTCATTTCGGTCGAAGTATAAACACAAACAGTTGAAGTTAAGCATATTTAAAGACGCAGGGGTTGCAGTGATCTTAATTACCCCACTTTATAGAGGTTACTTTAATTGCTATAGGCAGTGGCTCAATTACGCTCCGCCCCTTGGTCTGACAACGAATGGAAAATTCATCACGGTTGAGATCGAGAGGGATGGGTAGTTTTCTTTTTTAGTTAATACATTTAGTTTTCTTTATATAACACGATTCCTTAAGAATATCTTTCACAAGGTAATTTTTCGTAGAAAAATAAGGATTTTACAATTAAGCTCCGCCTCTCGAATTACAATGAATGAAAAAGATCATCAGAGTAGAGACAGGGCGGGCGGGCGGGGCTTATATTTTTTCTTTTTGTTTTTCTTAATATACACAGCCATCTTACTTAAACTTAAAACATTATTAAAATGGTTTTTGCAAGGAAACATCGATTTTGCAATTATGGGGCGGAGCCTAATTGCAAAATCGATATTTCCTTATACAAATTTTCCTTGTTGTGAAAAAAAGTCTACACATACTAAAACAAAAAGACAAAATGTAAGCCCGCCCACCCGCCCTATCTCAATTGTGATGATTTTTTTTTTATTCGCCGAGAACCAAGGGGCGGAGCTTAACTGCAAAATACTTATTTCTTTACAAGAAATTAAAAACACATTTTTGAGTGTTGTTCAAAAAATACAAAGTACCTACAAAAACCCAAAATATAAACCCCATCTCAATTGTGATGACTTTTTTTTTGTTTTTACAAACTTAAAACACTTTTAAAATGGTAAATTTTTGTAA